CTTTCTGATAAACATGGGAGGGGGAGAAGGGCGGCTAACAGTAGGTAGAAGGAAGTTAGAGAGTTGGAGAAAGAGGAAATCTGGAAGTTAGATGCCTCATGGTAGGTCTGTGGCCTGGATTGCAGAGCTGAAAATCTGTTCTCTGGGCCTCTTAGAGTATTGAGGTGAACAGGCAACCCGAATAACTAAACGAGATGGTGGTACTTCAGATGCCTGAATATTTCATGTAAAAGGCTCTGGGGCTCTTTGGGAAGGCAATTCTCCTAACATTGATCCTGCTGTTCTGTTGGTTTCCGAAGACCATCGCAGTGTCGTGGGGTCACTGTCCTAAGAGGCTCACCCAATATGTATGGGTGTGTTGGGGAGGGTCTCAAGGGTCTATTCTGCTCCTGGGAGGTGAGTGAGGTACCACCAGAGGTGGTCATGGAAATGGGACTCTGTCCCTGTCCTCCTGTTGGGGGTTCCCAGCCGGGAGCCTGGGAGTGGCCCTAATGAAATGGGAGTGAGGAACACCACCAACTCCAGGAGAAATATGTTGATGATTTTCTGGACTGTCTAAAAAATTTTAAACCCAGGGATGGTGTTTTTATTTTCTGCATTCTCTTTGGGACTTGGGTTTCACTAAAGCATTTTCTGTCTTTGTTTTCTTTATTAAATTAGCAAGATTGACTTGAATCAGAATACACTGTTATGGCTTGAAATGTTGTTGAAAGAGCAAAGTAGGCGGGCATGACAGATATCCCACGTTCCGTTGGAATGGGGGGGAGGAAAAGAGTGGGACTTGCTGAAATTATAATATTTTTTCTGATAAAATTTGAGAAAGGAAAAAATAACTTGTAAGAAAACAAAGGAAAACAGTGAAAGGAAGATAAATTTCTGTTTATTGAAGCTCATATTTAATTTTTGGAATAGAGCTGGCCAGGGTGTTCTTAAGCATTTCTGTTTGCTTGTTGGGGGGGTGATTTTTATTCTGGTTTTTGTGGTGTTTGCTTGCTTTTTTTGTGTTTTGTTTTGTTTTTTTACTTTGCATTATTTCATGCTGAGGTAATTAACCAAATGCCCCTTAACCAAGGGGCTGCAGCTGCTGAAAACTCATCTCAGTCTCCTTGCCCCCCACTGTCGGGGCCGTGTCTCTAGGGCGTCCTATACCAGGCTCCCATCTTGGACTTTCTAAAATACAGATCTGAGGTCCTGCCACTTCTCTACTTAAAGATCCTAAATGACTCCTCAGGCCCCACAGCAGGAGTCAGCACACTTTCTGTAAAGGGCCAAAGAGTAAGTGTTTCAGGCTTCGCGGGCCATTCGGCCTCTGTTGTAGCTCCTCGGCTCAGCCTTGTGGCAGAGCGTGTGCAACGAGGTGCGTGGCTGGGTCCCGATAGAGGTCCGCCTTCAGAAAGAGGCTGAGTAGGCCCTGGAGCGAGCCCCTGGCCTCCAGGATACCCTTCGGATAACTTGGCCTGACCTTCAAGACCCCTCGCCCTTTGACCTCAGCCTGCACAGCCACCCCCCCGCTCCCGGCCTTTAACTCCTCAGAAGACACAAGGTCCTTCAAAAGGTTTATCCTTCTGCCGGTGCTGCTTCTGCACTTGAATTGCCGTCTTTTCTCTGTTCTTTTCTTATGGGTCGGATCTCCCTGTGTTGCCTTATATAGACTCTCACCCATCCCCAAGGTCAAGGCTGCCCCACCTCTGTGCCCACAGTGCTCTGATTAAGCCTCTCATGTCCCTGTACCATGCGGCTACTCCCCAGCGGGACGCTGACCGGGCGTGGGCTCTCGTTCCCCTTCGTGCCCGCCTGGAGCTCGGCGTGCAGAAGGCCACTGAGCAGGTGGTCATGAGGCCGACCCACCAATGCGCCCCTGAGCCCCTTAGCCATGGAGAAGTACAGTGACACAGGTGAGAAGCCACAGACCCAGAGCTGCTGGAGGGGCATGAGGGTCTGGGGGTGGAAACAGCCGGGTCAGCAGGAGAGGACCCGCTGCAGCCAGGAGCCCGCCGGCATCGACCGCACGCCCGGACGAGGGAGTCGAGAGGAGCAAGGAAAGCGGAGCCTCGTAGGGGCATCAGGCCCAGGCGAGGATGCAGCCTGCTGGAGTGAGATCAGAGGAGCAGCCGCATGATTAATGGGACGGAGGGACTGACTCATGCGGGAAGATTAAAGCGCTCCGAGGAGCTGGGGTACAGGCTGAAAGGGGCAGATGATAGCAGGCCGCAAGCATGAGATGGATAAACACCCAGGAGGGAGCGACTGGCTTCATTAGGGAGGTGAAAACAAGACTCCATCGCAGGAGGGGAGGGGGCTCAGAAGGGCACTGGTCGCTGATGGAGGAGCTCGGATGGTGGCTGGGCCAGGGGCAGCTCGGGGTGCTGGAGCTGGAAACACCCTGCGGTGACTCTTTCAGAGAACTATCTGCTTTCATCCTGTAGAGTCTCAAGCCTGCTGTGGTGCCGACCTTGGCCTTGGGGGTGGCCTCAGAAGTACTCTGACTGCCAGCCTGGGGTGGGGAGGGGGTCTGGCTGGAGAGAGGTGCAGGAGGGAGCAGGGCACAGAGGAGAGACAAACCCATGTTCCACCCTCCTCTTAGATACCAGGGAGTGGACTTCAGGACGACGTTGAGGCCCTCTGCAGGGAGCCAGGTTGTTCTGCCTTCCCTGTCTTTGGTCGAACCCCAGATACTCATTCCAAACCCCATCCTGAGAGCACAAGGCCGCTCTCACCCCTGCGTGCAGCAAGCCCAGCATGCTGCCTGGTTCACAGCTTCCTTGGTTGGCTCATCCCAACAGGGAAAAAGCCAGTGAGGCTTTTTGGAAGACAATATTTACTTGAAACTGCATTAAACAGCCCTCCAGCTCCAGAATCAGCTTCCTTCAGGCATCCTCTGTTATTCCCCCCAGGGCTGGGAAGAGCAGCCCATGTTGCCATAGGTCCTCAATAGCCAAGTCACTAAGGCCGGCAGAGAGGCGTGCTGGACTCTGGGTGCACATTCGGATCATCTGGGGTGCTTCTCTTAAACTGCCCATGCCTGATGCCTCTCTAAGAAATTCTGATTTACTGGTCTTGGCATGGAGGGGAAGGCAGACGGGCATGAGTAATTTTGCTTAAAGGTCTCCAGGTCGTACCCTGGCCGATTCGGCTCAGTTGGTTAAGCATTGTCCCATGCACCAAAATGTCGCCGGTTCCATTCCAGGTCAGGGCACATGCCCAGGTTGCTGTCTTGATCCCCAGTGGGGGTTGTGCAGGAGGCAGCTAATCAATGTTTCTCTTCCCTTCCTGTCTCTTAAAAAAAAAAAAAAAAATCAATAAAAACACTTAAAAAAGTAAAAATAAAATAAAATTTTAAAGATCTCCAGGTTGTTCTGATGTGTTGAGAACCGCCACTGAAAAACCTTTATTTGGGGGTAATTATAATTCATATAAAGTTATTCCTCCATCTCTATCTCTAACCACTGACTATAATTTCACCTGAAAGGTTTCTTAGAAAGCAAGTGTTTACCAATGGATCATCTGTGTGCTTGACACCTTGCCGGGGGCAGCGCCCCATTGGGAATCAAGAACAGGTCCATGCCCTTGGGGGGCTTCTGGTCCAGAGGGCAGACCACACCTTGAGCAAAGCAGGATAGAGGTGGGGTAAAGCAGGGTGGAGCCCGAGTGCTGAAACGGCTCATCAGAGGCTTTCTGTTCTGCCAGCTGCAGCTATGCTTGGTTCGGGATAGTCTTAACCTAGAGCCTGACATTCTAGGTGCAGATATAGAGGATGAGACTCTCCAAGGGCACACCCCAGTCGACCTTGACTCTCTGGGCTTCCTTCAACAATGTCTTTAGAAGGTAGGAATGCACTTGCTAGTTATTAGGGTAACAGCCCAAGGCCTTCACGAACCTTCAAGTTCCTGCAGTCAATACAGCAGTGATACCTGAGTGGGGCATCTAAAGGGGGGCATGCAAGATTTTAGGAGTATTGAGTGAACTTTTTTTTTGTAGTTGTATATTTCTCTTGAATTATATTATTACTTAGGTTGAAGTTACTTTAGGTATTTAAATAAAAGAAAAAAGCATGGAAAGATGAATAACAATACTGGTGGTATATAGATATGGCAAAACTTGGGGAGGTTGTGTGCAATGGGTTGAAGTTTGCAAAACTGCCTGGGAGTAAATGTGTCCTGCAGGCAGTCCGGTATTCCCAGCAGAGTCTCCTTCTTTCTTTCCAAACTCCTCCAAAGCTTTCTCACTACCCTAAGAGCACTTTCTGAAACAGTTTCAGTAGTTACTCTGTCTAGGCTTCTTAGAGAGAAATGCTGCGAGCTTATTCCTGTCATAGTTCTGAGGATCTACCCAATTCCACCTCCTAAAGTTGCAGGTCACTTTCTTAAGTTCTTCCCTTTCTGTGTCTGTCCCTAGGACTATCAGTCACTGTTGCTTTAGGGCGCTTTGCACGGACAATCAGAATTGTGTGACTCCCGCAGAGTTCCTGGGGAGAGGACATCATTGAGATGTGAATCCAGAGGCCAGTTAAACTAAGTCACGTAGCAAAGTGACTCACTTCCAAATACCAGCCTTATGACAAGTGCTTTTCAAATTTTATAGCTCACTAACACATGGATAGTACACATTTTAGAAATGCAAGTTTCTAAAACCGGAACTCTGAAGAAACAGAGCTCTTCCTATCATTTGTTTTTCATTTCTGTTTTTAGCTTGTGTCGGGGAAGGGGGTAACCATAATGTATGAATTTTAGAAACACTCAAGTAACATTCTAAAGAACCATCTGCCCTCTGCTCAGTTTGCTCTGTATTAAGAGTTCTGTGTGTGCAGGTAACCTTGAGAATTCCTTACCTAAAAGATCAAATGCCTTCCTTGTTCGCATCACTGTAAATTCAGTTTTTACTTGTTTCTATCTGGTATGCTTCTATCAGCTTCTTGCCATGACAGATACTTTTCAGTGATTACCTTAAAAAGTTGTGGAAAGGGATCGCTAATGCCTTGCTTTATTTCTAATTTCTCCCAGCTGTAGGCATTCAGATGAAACTCGAATTTTTCCAAAGGAAGTTCTGGACTGCCAGCAGACAGGTGAGTTATAATCGGCACATTGAGGCCGCAGCAGCACTGTTATTAGACAGGTGCTCACATTCGGGTACCTGGAGCCGAAAAGTGCCAGATTTCCGATGAATGTTTGTGAAATGACCTGCCAGATGCTCAGGTTACCTTTCATTTCACTGCACAGTTCAGGGCTGTCAGCATGTCAGACACCTCATGCTGGGAAGCGGGGAACCTGCTCCTATAAACAGTTTTAATCATGAGATCAAAATAGTGACCTTCCAGAGGATAAATGTTTTCTTTTAATATTGGGGAGTTTTGTGAATTTTCAGTGTCTCTCTTCTAATATTGTTATGCCTGGTTGCTTACCTGTGAACCTCCTTACTGCACTTTTGAAAGCCTCTTGGTAACTAGGTTTAACTGTGCACCCATCTACCCTCTCAGGTGAGAGGGCTCCTCCGTCTTGGAGACTCTGGGGCATTCTTTCCTGGTACCTGGCTCTCTGTACTAATTTCAGTGGTATTTGTCCGGTCATCCAGCAGAAATGACAACACATAAGTTGCCTCCGTTCTAGAATGATAGATAATTTCTTAAATGAAGATACTGTAGGAAACTATATACTAAGAACACAGACAGGAGCTTTGTTTTGTTTTGTTTTAAAGGCACTCGTGATTAATTAATTTAAAAATAAAAAATTACATAATTATATTTCTTGTTACTCAAAGATTTTTGAGTTCTTAAAAAGAGATCACTATTGAATGACAACATAAATTAAAATACATAACATAAATTAAAATGAAAAAGCGCCAGGTCTCCCCCCGACACCCCCACACACACACACACACACACACACACAAACACAAATTATCTTTTATATTACTATTTGGAGTTGGGATTGATCCTAGAGAGGGCAGGCAAGACACCGTGGAGAATTCTGTTTAGATGAAATCTGGAATTTGTATAATAGGCAAGGACTTTGATGGCTTGTCCTTGAGTAACCAAGTGGCAGCCACAGCAGACCCTGGGATGTCAGAGTAACACATGTCCCCTTGCTTTCCCCGCCCGCAGTGCGCCTCTCTGGATGGCAAATGCTCCATCAGCTGCGATGACGAGGTAAGAAGACCTCTTGGTCCTCCTTCTGTCCCGGTCAAGGGGAGGGGACAGGGGGCACCTTCACACAGAGGGAATGCCGCTAAAACAGAGACAAAACTGAACCAGGCTCCGAAAAACCCAGGGCTACTTTCTTTGTTCCTTTTTTCTTTCTTCCCCCAATTAGATAATTTATCAGAGCGAGAGAAATGTGCTTTAAGTGTCCTCAGGACAACACTATTGAAATGTTTGCATTTTATAGGAAAAAATAGAAATGACTGCCATTTGAAGCTCAAGTTACAATTCTCAAATCTTTTCCCCTGTGTGCTCTCTCTTTTTAGCATCATAACAACCAGTGAAATGGGTAGGAATGGTTGTTCTGTTTTGCAGAGAAACTGAGGAGCAGAGAAATGAAATGATTTGCTTAATTTCATGTACTAAACTAGCTGAAAACCTAGGAGTTGAAAATTCAAAATTTTTTATACCTGCATAGTGTTTCCCCCCTA